GTTGTTGTTGTTGTTGTTGTTGCTGCTCCTGCTGCTGTTGTTGTTGAGTTGTTATTGCTGCTGTTGTAATCTTCACCGCCTTTAGTGGAACTTAACTTTTTGTTACATGAGCCTGTGTTACATTAAATGCTGCCATTTCTACAAAGTGCAAATTTGCCTGAGAAAGTTCATGAAAAGATCATATCAATATTATTGATTTGTTTGGCTTTAGCTTTCAATAGTTGGGTTTTTTTTCCTTTTTGACTTTAAAGCTGCCTTGCACATTCAGCCTTTTCAGAAGGTAGTTCTTGTCGCTGTCAGAAATCTAACAGAAACTCCTCCCCGCGCCATCCACACAATAGCTGAACATGAAGTAGAAACCACTTCCACATTCTCCCACTTGTCAAAGAATAATACTATTTTTGCTGTGTCTTTTTTCTTCCTGTCAGCCGCGCTAAGAGGCTTGGGCCAATGTCACAGTGTGTTGTGTTGAATCCATTACGTAATTATGAGAGAGATAATCAAGTTCACAAGAACTATGAAAATGACAAAGGTAAAAGAGAAATAAGAAGGTTCCAAATACATTGCTAGAAAAACACGCAAGCTTAGATCAATACAGTCGTTATGTGTGAGATGGCATGGGCGTCTGCGCTTGTCATGAAGGGAAGAAACGACTGTCGATATGGTCCAACACCTTTTGGAAACACGTTTATTCCTGAAAGAAAATTGTCATGTCTGTCGAGTAGTGATAAGGCTGTCCACTGTCACAGGCAGAAGACGTGAGGTCGATTTCCAAGTGGAGACGTTTTGTTGGGGTTTTGTTGTTGTTGTTGTTGTTGATATTGTTGTTCTTGTTCATGTTCTTGTTCTTGTTTCGTTGCCCCCAGTACATTATATCCCGATCTGTCTGCTTGGGTGTTGTATCCCACTCGGTCTCGGTTGGACTTGACAAACAGGGTCGAAGCAGCCGTCTCTTAAATGTTCTAACTTGTTTCAATAATGGCGTAAAGCACTGACAATCACAATTTCTTAAGCAGATCTGAGTGAGTGGCACCGTTCAGAGACTCAGTGGAGACACAAACGCTATGACGTCATCATAATGATAAAGTTCGTTCTGCTACATCTCGTTAACCCCAAACTGCACCTGAAGATAACCACTTTTCATATTATTATGATCATTTTTCGAGGACTGAATATTGGTAACTGTAAAATACAACCTCCCCCCC